AAAGAGAAACATTTGGCGAGCCTGATAAAAACCGCAAACAAGGTCTCCCATCTCTACAAATACTTTAACCTCCGCACTGGTATTTATTTATCAATTAAATTCAGTTTTACACTTTTTAACGAGAGTTCTAAAGCTATACAATCATACTTAAAAAATGATAATCTATTCTTCTTATTGCAATATTAGATAAAAGAATGAAAACATATAAATGTATACAGATATAAATTTCTAAAAACAATTAAAAATGTTATATTTATAGAAAGAATGTGATTTCTTATTAAATGTGCCGTTACCCCTCTGCTTTCTGAAAAATTACAACCCCTAGTGAATATATCTCTCTGCCGAACTAACCCAACCTAGAGTAGTTTAATCACGGGAGGTTGTCCTTATTCAAAATAAGGGGGGGGATGTCAGATGACGGGACAGGATGAATGATAAATTTCCTTCAACAAATTTTGAAGAATAATGCGGCAACAAATTTTGTTACAGAAATAATTTCCATTTTTAATAATTTGTCAAACGCCCCCCCTCCCCCTCCCTAGTCTGCAGTTTATGGTTAAAATGGGTGCAATCCTACCATCTCTGGAAGTTTGGTTATTATAGAAACCCAAGATCCCGGGACCTTTACCGACCTTTAATCTATAAGAGGTCGTAATCTATGGATAGAGAAAAATTTTGAATTATATTTAGCTACAGATGAACTACATCTGCCCGAGATTGCGTAGAAAAGAACAGTTTAATATCTTATATTTTAACCACTTTTTGCAACATAAAGGCAGTCAGGGGCGTATTCAGGGGGGTGGGCTATGGGAGCTAAGCCCCTCCTGGACCAGTGAAATCTATTGCTTTCAGGGGGTTTTTAGGCTCCAGCGGGTGCTAAGCCCTCCCCCACTGGAAAGTTAAAAAAATTTAATTCCCCCCCTGAACAAATTCCTGAATACGCCCCTGAAGGCAGTCTTTGGATTTTGGGACTGTTAAAAAGTCTGAGTCTAACCACATGTTTAGGAACTTTGACACTTGATTTCCTAGTAAACTTTTTTTTTCAGATATTGTTCACTTTAGCGTTTTTTTTGATTATATAGCTAAATAAATTTATTTTTATGACGTAATGACAACGTGTAGAACCAGTTATCCCAGATATTTAATGTTGAGTTGAATGTCCTCTACTTACAAACTGATTTATAAATTCAGAATTTAAATATCGCTTACATTCAACAAGAAAATCCCTTATATTCAACTAATCTTTTTACGTTCAACAAACATCGCTGATTTAGCCGTCATCCGACTTTTGATGCCAAATAGCGATTTTTTTATTTTGAAATTTAAAGTTTAGGCAAAAATCCGCGTACTTGCACAATAAACATTATTGATATGGTTGGAAAATTAATACAATTCTATATTTTTAATATTTATTTGATCAAATTATTGTTTGTAATCATAGAGAAGAAGGAAAAATAATTGACCAAAATTAGAATTAATCATGGTTAGTGTCAAACAAGTGCAAAACCATGCTTGATGACAGCTCAACAAATTACCCCCCCCCCCCCCTCAACCATATGAATATCATTCTGCCTTCTTTATGTTGTAAAGCATGTCATGATTTACAGTGCAAGTGTGGAGGGGGGAGACATTTTGATTTTTTAAGATTTTAAATTATCTGTGTCCGAATTTAATGAATTTGAGCCGCGGCCTAAATCTGCCAAAAACCTGTTTCAATTGAGCGCCAGCTTAAATCTTGGAAAATGCGTTACAATTTAAAGTTGAATTACCCATATAGAATCGCGGCTTAAATTTAAGCCGCGACTCAAATTCTTTAAATTCGGCCTCTGGTATACTGAATTTAATAAATTAGAGTAAGGTCGCTGAATTACCTATGGCGCCGCTTCAAATTAAAGGGTCATGAGGATTTGAATCAGTGATTCAGTATTTAAACCAACAAAAGGAAGTTCAACGACCTCTATCTACTTCATATAATTGGAGGAATCATAAGCTGGTATTGGGAATTAATCAATATCTACTTAAAAAACTACTTTACAAGGAAGTTGTATACACAATTGTATCGTCTTTTGAAATAAAAATGCGGTAATCTTTGCACGAAAACTTCTTAGCAGGGGGAGTAATTTTGTTAAATTGTCCCAAGGGACAGTTACATAAACTATCATTTCACTGTTGGGGGAATCATGGGTTGGTAAGATTGGTGAAAAGCCGTAAAATATATAAGCAATGCAACTTTGTTCTAATAATCTAGTTTCTTGGATCTAAAAGAAATATTAATTTATTTAAATGTTTTATTAAAAATATTAATGGAACATTAATTTGTTATGGTACTTAAACATTTGAAACATATCAGGTTTAACATTATAACGAGATTGGTGCAGTTTTTAAATCGTTGCATGCATTTTATGCAGCATCAAGGCTAATATAGTACATAGTTCATCATCAGATTTAGATATTAATCTTATGATGTAAATAAAAAAAATGTTTTGATAAAGCAACTCAATTTTCAAATTTCTTTATCTTTGCATCCTTATGTGTAAACCTTTTATATTTCAAACTTTGTCTATTTGAACAAGCTGAATTCAACATCAGGAAACAAAGATATTATGATTAGAAATTAGAGTTTGTGCCAAGTGATCAGTTCCTATTTTGATTTGAAAGTTTATAAGACGAACAACAGGTACAATTAGAGTTTGTAAAGGTCGTGTTTTATCAAATATTTTCTTAATTTTGCATTTTTTTTATTTATTGATGGGTTTTATAAACTAAAACTTGAATATAACATGGAATATTTTTCTTTCATCCCAAACTGAGATGAAAATTATAAAATGCACATTTTGGAACAATTACATTTTTATACCTGAAGATTATATACGTGACAACAACATTAAAACTATAAACTAGGCGAAGGTCGTCTTTACTTTCTATTGTTAAATGTCTCTCCTTGGGATTTTAGAATCATAGGTTTAGTCTAGCTGAGTAAATTAGTCAGGTAGATAAACATCAAAGCCAGCCAGTCTGAAATAAAAGTATGCATACTTAGTTCATATTTCATTATTTGCTTAGGCCTGATAGACATCATAATTAGTATAGAACTAGGTTTAAGCTTTACTCAATCTACTCAACTCTATATTCTCATTATTAGAATTCTCAGTTTAATTTCAATTCTTAGAATAAATGAATGATACACTTGGTTTCATATAGTTATAAGGCGAACCACCCCATGAACCACTATCAGCGAAATGTTAAGATTATTTGTTAAACTCGTTTCTAAAATGGCGAATTCTTCCAATGTTAAAAATTTGCTGATGCTAGTTAGACAATATTTGTAAAGTAAAACTTTAAATATCCGATATATTCAAAAAAAGGAAATTACTGAACGATCTATGGCAAATAGCCTGAATATTATTAAATGTTTAATATGCATTAAATAAATTGTGAAAATTTTCATGATAAAAATCTTATATTTAACCATACAATGGCTGTGGGGTCTGAATCTATGTATAGCCTCCCCATAGAAAAAGGCCTTAGAGAATAGGTTTAAGGTTGAAATGGATGTTCATAGCCCAATTCGTGAAGGCCAGCTCATTAAAGAAAAAAAAATAGATCGATAACTTTAATAGTTTGGGTGCTAGGGAGGGTTGAAAACAATGTCAAAAAAAGTAAAAAAATGTAAAAAATTAATTTTAATGTTTTAAACAAATATCAAGATGTAAAACTTGTTTCTACATCCATTTTATTAGGGCTTTTCCAAAATATAGTATTTAGACCTGTTGCTTTAGTAACAAGTTATATGTGCTATTTTAGATTTTATTTTTACACGAACAGGATTTTTACCACCTTGTACCCAACCCTATGCAATAAAATAAAATATTTTTTTTTTACAAAAAAGCCTTTAAATTTCTATTCAATAAAAGTCGAAAAAGCTCACGGTGTTAGTGACACAAATTAGTCCCAATAAACATGGGAATTCAGTGACGAATTCGATATCGTCTTTTTAAATAATTCTTTGATTTAGTATTGTGATACCTACTGAGAAAGCTGTAATCTGTAAGCTGAGTTTCGTCTGCTATACATTTTGTTTGTTTATTTTTTGACTGCATACGGTTGTACTTAGTAAAACAAGAAAATTACAGTATACAAACAGAGTAAACTTGTCCGTCTTCACTGTTCATCTTGCGGAGACATTATAGACAAATCTTTACAGTCTTTTACCCTTTTCATAAAATATACTCTAGCAGACATGATGATATTACGGCTTTTGAAATTAGGTATTACAATGCTAATTCATGACAAAGACGATATCGAAATCCCATGTTTTTTGGAACACCCTGTAGTTTAATAATATTTATTTATTATATCCATTTATTATATTCATTTATTATATTTATTTGGAAATATTTGGAAATATAAGAGTTTCATTTTATCTTTATAAAGGATTTGAGTTGATTTTCTAATCTCTATATCTTTGTAATCCAATGTCGTAGACCTTAGATATTTCAAACTATTAATACTTATAGATAAAATAATCTAAGTTTAAAACATCAAAGGCTTGCACCATCAGGTTGCAAAGATATTGGGACCAGAAGATTTTAGTTTGTGGCAAAAACTCAATTCCTTTGGAAAAATAGTGAATAAAAGAAGAAACGCTGATGAGAATCAATATGATAATTTTATATTTGTTCTGTCTGTATGATTTCTAGTTAAATTTTGTAAACTAATTACCATCTAGTATGTAATGATAAATATGTAAACTATAATTACCATCTAGGACGTGATGATAAATATGTAAACTATAATTACCTTCTAGGACGTGATGATAAATATGTAAGCTATAATTACCATCTAGGACATGATGATAAATATGTAAACTATAATTACCATCTAGGACGTGATGATGAATATATAAACTATAATTACCATTTAGGACGTGAAGATAAAAATATAAACTATAATTACCATCTAGGACGTGATGATAAATATATAAACTATAATTACCATCTAGGACGTGATGATAAATATGTAAGTTATAATTACCATCTAGACGTAATGATAAATATGTAAGCTATAATTACCATCAAGGACGTAAAGATAAATATGTAAACTATAATTACCATCTAGGACATGAGGATAAATATGTAAACTATAATTACCATCTAGGACATGATGATACACATATAAACTATAATTACCATCTAGGACGTGATGATAAATATGTAAGCTATAATTACCATCTAGGATGTAATGATAAATATGTAAGCTATAATTACCATCTAGGATGTAATGATAAATATGTAAGCTATACTTACCATCTAGTTCGTAATGATAAATATGTAAACTATAATTACCATCTAGGAGGTGAAGATAAATATGTAAACTATAATTACCATCTAGTACATGATGATACACATCTAAACTATAATTACCATCTGGGACATGATGATACACATCTAAACTATAATTACCATCTAGGACATGATGATACACATCTAAACTATAATTACCAACTAGGACGTGATAATAAATATGTAAGCTATAATTACCATCTAGGACATGATGATAAAAATGTAAGCTATAATTACCGTCTAGGACGTGAAGATAAATATGTAAACTATAATTACCATCTAGGACGTGATGATAAATATGTAAACTATAATTACCATCTAGAACGTGGGGATAAATATGTAAACTATAATTACCATCTAGGACGTGAAGATAAAAATATAAACTGTCCATCTAGGACGTGATGATAAATATGTAAGCTATAATTACCATCTAGGACGTGATGATAAATATGTAAGCTATAATTACCATCTAGGACGTAATGATAAATATGTAAGCTATAATTACCATCTAGGACGTGAAGATAAATATGTAAACTATAATTACCATCTAGGACGTGATGATAAATATGTAAACTATAATTACCATCTAGAACGTGGTGATAAATATGTAAACTATAATTACCATCTAGGACGTGAAGATAAAAATATAAACTGGCCATCTAGGACGTAATGATAAATATGTAAGCTATAATTACCATCTAGGACGTGATGATAAATATGTAAACTATAATTACCATCTAGGACATGATGATACACATCTAAACTTTAATTACCATCTAGGACATGATGATACACATCTAAACTATAATTACCATCTAGGACATGATGATAAATATGTAAACTATAATTACCAGCTAGGACATGATGATAAATATTTGAACTATAATTACCGTCTAGGACATGATGATACACATCTAAACTATAATTACCATCTAGGACATGAGGATAAATATGTAAACTATAATTACCATCTAGGACGTGAAGATACGTATGTAAAATATAATAAGCATCTAGGACGGGAAGATAAATATGTATAAACTATAATTATCATCTAGGACTTGATGATAAATATGTAAACTATAATTACCATCTAGGACGTGATGATAAATATGTAAACTATAAATACCATCTAAGGCGTGATGATAAATATGTAAACTATAAATACCATCTAGGACGTGATGATAAATATGCAAGCTATAATTACCATCTAGGACGTGAAGATAAACAAGAACTGGTTTCAGACCTTCAGGGATACAGGAGTAATTTCCCATCCTAGAATACCGTTATTTAAGGAACTGTTAGCGTTGTTTTAAGTCACCCTCTATGAAAAGATGGCAATGCCCGATTCACCAAGGTACCCTTGAAAGCGTTGTCTGAATAAATATAGATTATATATCGAAGTTTATAAGTTAATAAACTTATTATTTTCGATTGCCTTTATCTTCTTGAAGAGTGACAAGCTTATCTCCACGACAGGAAGGAAGATATTAGAATTATTCACTTTTAAACCTAGAAAACCGACTAAATTTTTCACATTATTGAAAAGAAAAAGGTTCAGTGTCCAAATTTAATGAATTTGAGCCGCGTCTTAAATCCACCAAAAACCGCTTTCAATTGGGCGCCGGCTTAAATCTTGAAACAATGAATACGGGTTTCAGTGGAACCAACCATATTTGAGCCGCGGCTTAAATTTAAGCCGCGGCTCAAATTCTTTAAATTCGGCCTCAGGGTACCATAAAGATTCGAGCATTGACATCTTTGCATTGAGGGTCTCTGAACCCTGTAAAGGTTTTGGGTCTGAACCTATGTATTGTCCCTTTAAGAAAAATGTAAAGGTATAGTTTGCAATATGCATGTTTATGGTCAAATTTTTTAAGGCCTTCAATAGTTTGGTTGCAAATGTTAAGATGATACATATTTTCATGGATTTTTCAGAAATGTAGTTTTCAGATCTGTAAATTCAATCATAAAAAAAAACTATAATGTGCTATTTTATATTTTTAACACGGACCGGACTTGTAAATTATTATTAAATATCTAATTTAGCTTGTTTATAGAGTTAAAGTCTATTCAAACAAAGAGCTAAAGGGCGTCAAACCTTATAGAAATCCAACGTATAGAAACCGCTACGTATAGCAACAAGGCGTATTTTCCGGGAGAACATTTTTTATATTTTTGAGAAATTAAATAATCAGTGTAGAGTAGATATAATTTTCACAAAATCCTTGTATTTAAATGGTAAAACGGAATTTTATGAAATCATATTAGCATTACTGGAGAACTTTTTTTTATACTTTTAAGAATTTTTTTCTAAAAATAAAACTGTAGATAGCATTTTTATAAAATATCTTTTTTAATAGTAACACGCAATTTTATGTATAACCATATAATCATTCATTTATTTACATAATAAAATCTGGGGGACCTTAAGCACAATAGAGAGCAGTACAAATGTACGTATTAAACTATTTTGCTCCTTTAATGTCTAGAGTATGTTAAAATAAATAGAAATTAAGATAATGATAATGATAAGCTACAAAGTTTTACAAAAACGTTTAATTTCTCAAAAATATAGAAAATGTTCTCCCGGAAAATACGCCTTGTTGCTATACGTAGCTGTTTCTATACGTTGGATTTCTATAAGGTTATACTTCGAGCTAAAGGCCTAAAATGAGAAGAAAGTTTTTTAATGCTTGTTCTTCTTTATATTTATAGTTTGAAATAAATCGTAAATTATTAACCTGTTTGAATGTATTTGTCGAATGATGAGCTCGGATACAGTAGACTCAGGACTTCGGCTTAGCCGTATCTCCGTATTTCCATGGGTTTGCAACACCTCGTCTTCATACAGCCTTAAATACAAACATTTTTAAAGCTTTAACATGGTTTAAAAGAGACAGATCACAGTTAGAAATGGGAATCGTTTTTTAAACTAAAGATTAAACTTTCACTGGGGTCATTTTAGATCCCACACAAAATTTGGGACCGATCGGTTCAGCCCTTTCGACGTTTATTGGATACAAACATACAAAGAAACAGACAGACAAAGTTTATATGTAGCAGAAAAGAAGTCCTCAACACAAGATTTGAATTTTTATTTATTTGAATTTTCATCAACTTTATGTTTCATGCTTTGTGATCTTTAGGATACTACAAATAACAAAATGTATGTTGCATATGGAAAAACATAGAAATACATCTTTTTGTACTGTACTGTATATACTGTACTGTCTGTAATGTTATTGTACTGCAAACTTTTTAGTCATTCATTCTACTGAACTAAATTCACTCTGTGCACAAGTATAGTGTATAAATAGTTGATCAAAGGACATAGTTTAAATAAAACAAGTTTTAAAGTAATTGCAGAATTAATTTTGAGGGAAAAATCTTGATGTGAATTTTTATTTTATTTTATTTTTCTATTTATTTAATTTTCTAAATAAACTCAATTTTCTTAAAACATACATTTTTGGAAAATATAGAGTTAAGCTTCAGGAATCAACTAAACTCGATATCTGATGCAGACACTTTTGAATTTTGATTTAAATATTTATATCCTGTGTCCTAAACTCCTTTCCCCCTGGAAAAATATCTTAGTTTCAATACATCTTCCTATTCCAATTTTTGAAGGCCAGCTCATTACAAAAAGTATCAAAAATTTTCAACAAATAAAAAATTTTGACAAATTATTGAAAATCTGTATTTAAGGGCTTTTCAACAATGTAAGTTTTTAATAATATTTTTATGGAAAAAGATATGGACTCTTTTAAATCTCCTGAACACCGACCGGACTTTCGAGCGTCGAGTAGCCTTCCATATGTTCTGAATAAAAATGTTTTCCAAAAGTCCTTTAAACTACTATCCCTTGAAAGTAACAGAAATGTTAAGAATACCTTGTATTCTAGTGATGTATGTATCTATATACACCCTGTACAATACATTGTATTATAGTGATGTATGTGTCTATATAAACCCTGTACAATACATTGTATTCTAGTGATATATGTATCTATATACCCTGTACAATACATTGTATTTTAGTGAAGTATATATCTATATACACCCTGTACAATACTCTGTATTCTAGTGATGTATGTATCTATATACACCCTGTACAATACATTGTATTCTAGTGATGTATGTAACTATATACACCCTGTACAATACATTGTATTCTAGTGATGCATGTATTTATATACACCCTGTACAATACATTGTATTATAGTGATGTATGTATATATATACACCCTATACAATGCATTGTATTCTAGTGATGTATGAATTTATATACACCCTGTACAATACATTGTAATCTAGTGATGTATGTGTCTATATACACCCTGTACAATACATTGTATTCTAGTGATGTATGTATCTATATACACCCTGTACAATACATTGTATTCTAGTGATGTATGTATCTATATACACCCTGTACAATACATTGTATTCTAGTGATGTATGTATCTATATACACCCTATACAAATACGTTAGTTCCTAACGGTTTTCTATATCCTTATGTATTTTTAATACAGAAATCATAATGTTTATTTTCTATCAAAGGAATATCTTCCAGGGTTAGATAATATTTGGGATTATTTTTCAAGCATTTATTAAACCATGGAAACTTCCCTTTGTCACGGGTAACTAAATAGAACTAAGCTTGTCCTCATTCTCCACGAAATTCCACAATTTTTTAGTCAGTGTTAAGTTCTTCAGATTACTGCATTACGATAGAAAACTATGGTTTCCTGGGTGTATCGAAAATAATACTTAAAAGTATCATTCAAAAAAGTCAAAAATTTGAAAATTTCAAAGGAACTGAGTTTTGGCCACAAGCTCAAATTTTCTCATCCCTATATCTTTGCAACCTGATTTTGCAAGCTTATCATATTTCAAACTTGGATTTTTTTATATTTTTTATCTAAGCGAATTTATAGTTTGAAATCTCAAAGACCCGCCACGTAGGGTTGCAAAGATAATGGGATGGGAAAGTAAAAGGTTATGGTTAAAACTCTCTTTTTAAAAAAAGGGTTCGAGAAGAATAATAAACTTACCATTTGATAGAATTGACATGTGAGCTGCCTGTTACTAAACACTTCAGCTGGACTGTAGATTCTCTTTTAGTAAATATATCTGGACCTCCTTCTATCTCAACCTTGGGTTCCAGAACCTACAAGTATAATATGATTTATTAAATATATCTGGACTCCCCTCTATCTCAACCTTGGGTTCCAGAACCTACAAGTGGCGACTCGTTCCTTTCTAAAACTACGGATTCTGAAAGATCTGTTTACAAAATAATCAAAGATTTTGATGTAAATGGTTTGCACCAGGTTACAAAAATGCAGGGATTCAAAAATCAAAGTTTACGATCAGTAATCCGTTCTTTTGTACGTGCATATGATTTTTGCCCTCAATTTTGAAAAAAATGCCCCCAATTTAAAAAAAAAATGCCCCCAGTTAAAATTATTTTTCACTAACACATTTGCCCCCATTGCCCCCAATTTGAAAAAATACCCCTAATTTAAAAAAAAAAATGCCCACAATTTTTTTTAAAATGCCCACAATTTTTTAAAAATTTGCCCCCAATTAAAGAATTTGCCCCCATTTTTTTCAAATTTGTCAATCCCAAATGGGATTGAAAAAGGAATTATATTGACCCCTGCTGTTATCATGTTAACACACAGTATAATAATCATTTTTCTCACTAACATAAATGATAATAAATGAGATGGTAATCTTTCCTCCAAAAAATTTGTTATAAACATCTATATGTTTGAACTATAAATGTTTGAACTAGGTGTATAAATGCTAACTAATACCTTAAAAATTGGTGGATACGCAGAGCTTTGGACTATTAAAACGTTTTTATTTGTTTGTTGTTAACAAAATATCATTGTAAATTTTAGGCCCAGTGACGAGTGATGGGCAATAGCTAGATTCGTTTTAAAAAAAACTTTTAATATTTTTAGACTCTTAAAAGGTTTAGCGACAATCTGCAAGAAGGGTCCAACGATTTAAAATTGTATTCTGTAGTACTTTGCTTTTGTCAAACATGCATGCAAATGTGTTATCCTAGGTGAAAATATAAGGCAAAAACTTTTTTTTAAAACCCAAAAACGATCGTTTTTGCCTTATATTTTCTTCAAGAGTAACACATTTGCATGTTTGATAAAAGCAAACTTCTACAGAATAAAGTTTTAAAATGTTGGAACCGTCTGATATTGTCTTAAAACCTTCTTAAAGTCTAAAAATATTTTTTTTAAACGAATCTTGTTAATACCCATCCCGACGGTGACTTGATGTTAAAGGTTAGGTGTATAGTTGTTAATGAAGGCCAAACCACAAAAAGTTTTGCAATTCATGAGTTACAACATATCTTTGGATAAAAGTTTAAATATGCAAAACGCTCCAAAGTTCTGAAAAGACAGTCTGTTCTTTTTTTAAGTTTGACTGAGATTGCTTTACACCTGGTTAAAAATTTGGTTAAAGGAAAAGAGTTTTAAGTTGGATATCTTTAAAAATGCCAATTTTTTTTATTTTACATATGTTTTTGTACATATAAAAAGGGTGGAAAGGATACGGTAATAACTGGAAGAAGGATAAAAAAATCACTTTAAAATTCTTTAACAGTTTTCTATGTCTATTTTATTCAATTATATTTGATTGTAAATTTTCAAAATTCTATGAAAATCCAAGTTTTTGAAGGCAAATTTTTTGAAATTCTTATCATCAATAACCATTCCCTGGGTCATATGAGGTCCCACAAAAATTTGGGCCTGATCTGTTGAGTAGTTTTGACGTTTATCAGTTACAAACAAACAGACAAACAAGCCAAGTATATGTTTATATTAATGAAAGAAATAAAGCTATAAACTCTCAATTCAGGCGGAAAATATTGTTTTCTTGGAGCAACTAATCTTCTGTAAGATAAATGGCTGAAGGAAGCACTTTGTACAAAACTGTCTGATTCAGGATTTTTATAAATTTGACCTTACAAAAACAATCTGTTGGCCAACCCCTTGAACACCACGTCAAGTTAGAATAGAATCCACGTCAGATTTATATCTTAATCATAACTCTTTTCATTGAAGAGCTTTCTAGCGTGTAACCAAAATAAATCACAATTACGTCGCGTTGTACCAGAAATACCGCATAAATTAGACTTAATCCTTCTGTTTATAGTGGAGTGTGAAATTCCAAAGTTTTATGGGGCTCACTGTAACTATTGTAACTATTGTAACTATTGTAAAAAAGTTCTGAACAACCAGATTTTAACAAATCAAAGCTAGTCCCTCGATTTTCCTAAATATTGAATATTTTTCAATGAATATTTTGAAATCAATGCAGTAGAATTGTTCTTTCCTTAATAATTAAATAAAGCTAAAATTTGGTCTAATTTTCTTTAGACTCGTTCCTTTGTACAGCTTAAAAAGAAGAAACATCTCTTATGATTTAAACAATAGAAAAATCTTTAAATTTCAGATTTGTGTTGGACAAAAGATGAAAGAAGACCAGTTCTCTAATCTCAGAGAGAACCAGCATTTTTCCGGGTCTCAAAGAAACCAACAATGCATGAGCCTTGAATAAATTTTAGAATTTGCAATTTATAGTGAACAAAATAATACAAATGTATTGCAGAATATTAGTGAAAAAATTAAAAAATGAATGGACATTTCACAATAGAAAAATTCTTAGATTCTTTCAATCTTGATTCCTTTTTTTTAAATTACAAAATAATCCGATATGTAACCAAATACTTTGTTCTTTTCATACTTTGATGTCAAAAATAGAATTGGATGAGTTCCACCACTGAAACCAGTAAATTGAACCTTTTTCTTTTTGTCTAGTGGTGTGTAACACAAACGTGGTGGAAAGTCAATATTTCAAGAGATCGGTAATTTTTTCACATTTCAAAATTGGTGAAAAAAATTTTCAGTGGTTAGGAGAAAAAAGTTGAATGAGCAGAAGATTTTTAAAAAAAGTAAAGAAATTGAGTTTTTGTCACAAACTCTGATTTTCTTTGCATTTCAATGCCAGAGACCTTAGATATGAAAAAATAAAACGATTTGAAGATCAGTATAAAAATATAAAATAAATAAAATAAAAATATATTTATAATCATTAAATTGTATTTTTTGTTTATTAAATTTCATATTTCAACTTTACTGTTCCAATTGATAATTAGACCAAAGCAAGGCATTAAATATCAACTAAAAACAGATATAGCCTCACTTAACCAATCATACAGAATCAATTAAATGTTTTATAGATTTCAAATAGTTTATTTATTCTGTTTCTTATATACTTTATTAATAATTATTAACTTCCGTTTTATTTTCGTCAAGTTAAATAATCAATAAAATATTTTTTACATTTTAAATTTTTAAAAATAATTTTGCTGTTTATTATTCAGGGTCTTTGTTACTTGTACCAACATAAAAGCAATTCTTTGTTGTTTGAAAATTCTATGTAAATCAATATTTAATTGTTATGAAGTTCGGTGTTAGACTTTTAGTATAAAATATGAACGATTTTTTCTTATATTTGCAAAAAGGGATATAATTTCAAAAGATTCGTCACGAAATATAAAGATTTGTTTATGCTGTCCTTGTTGAATTTATATTTTGTAAGAGGGAGAAATTGCAAAAAGCAAAAAAAGAATACAGGGGCCGATTTTGTTGCTTTGTTTTTGGTAACATACACACCAAAATTCCATAGAAAGATTCAACGTTATTTAATCTTTTAAATACATTAATAATGTATAATAATCCTTACCTTGAGATATGTAAGATGACTCATCTTATTCTGTGTACTAATCTGGCATTCATACACACCTTCATCACTCTTCTTCACACCCTTCACTAAATTTAAAAATAGTGAAAAGCTATAGCTAACATTTAATACACAAATATATAAGCGCTAAAGAGCTTTATTATTTAGACTTGGCATTCTTGATTACTTGATACTTTGCAACCTTAAAGGAATTAAGTCTTTGCCACAAACTCTGGTTTTTAAATACAACCCAATGTTGTAGACCTTAGATATCTTTAACTATGACTTCTGTTATATCAAACCATCAAAGGTTGAAATATCTAAGGTTTATATAGTTTGGTTGTAGATATATAGGTATTAGAAAATTGGGATTTGTTGCAAAGACTCAATTCCTTTCAAAATATGAATATTGTTATCAGATAAAATAATGTAAGCTTGAAGTATCAAAGGTTTCAATTGTAATAGATCAAAGACATACGGATTCAAAAACTTGAGTTTCGGCGAAAATTCTTTTCATTTCATGCACCTCTTATTGAAATATTACATGTCTTCACCCTATCATAAATCCTCTTATTAAAAAGCAGTAGTGAAAAAGAATTTTTTTAAATTTCATCTTTGCACGTCATTTGGGAAAATTATATAGTATTAAGGTTTCATTTGTGGAAATGTAAATTAGAGAAAGATTTATTCTGGAAAGTTCCATTCTGATTTATTGTTTAGCCTTTACTACGTGCAAGCGCGCAATAACAAACTACATCTGCCATAATGTTTTCTTTTTCCTTAACTTTTAGAATTGAAAAATAAACACTTTATACCATAGTTGATTAAAGTTCAGTTTTGCAATCATAATTTCCCCGAAGTAGTGCAAAATATATATTTCTATGAGAAAAGTTGATAAGCCTTACAATATTTGAAGGGATTGTAGATGTTTTTTTCAATTGTACAATATTTGAAGGGATTGTAAATGTTTTTTTCAATTTTAAAATATTTGGAGGGATTGTAGATGTTTTTTTTCAATTTTACAATATTTGAAGGGATTGTAGATGTTTTATTCAAGTGTCTCTACATTTATAGATGACATTTACGTGTACTCATGATACCTCTTTAAACCCCTATCCGAGTAACAATGAGGAAGATATCATTGATTTTCTTGCTAAAACTTGTTAAATTTAGACAATTTCCTTTAATGTATCTGCAGCATTAATCCGCAAGTCAATTTTAAAGAAAATCCACAATCCAAATTTTCCGAAAAAAGAAGGATAAGAACATTTAATTTTTCCTTGACAAGACAAAGGGTTTTCAGGGTTCTTCATCGGACACTTTACATATATATAAATGGAGGTTCTATTATATGGAGTCTACAGTCGCTTTAAGGTATGGGTTTTTTTTAAAATGTGTTTATGCATAAGATCGAATTAAAACCAAATTTGAACCTCGTCTAGACAAACATGGTTGGTTCAACTTAAAAATTTCTCAGTGCTTCGAGCTAGATTTGAGCTACCGCGCAATTTAAACCGGTGATTGGCGGTTCAGCGACACGGTTCAAATCTATTAAGTTCGGCCTCTGTAAAACCAAATACTGCATAACACTTACCAATTAGCGTCCACTCTCCTCTGATTTTGTTTTGAATAATGACAACTCTTGGATCAGAAACAAAGACTGTAGTGTCAACAGATAAGATATGAGAGTCTCGAGATCTAACCCAGGACACACTTTGGGTTTCAACCTAGATTAAACATGATCAAACTAGAGCTAGGTTGTGTGGAAAAAAAGGTTTTTATGTTATATTCTGTCAACCGTTAAAATCTTAAGTGACCCTCCATGTGAAGATTACTATAGTTCCCTTAAAAAGCATTGATAAACATCCATGTTTTTATGCTTTTAACTGTTTATTTTCATTTTGTTCTCTGCAAAAGTGACTTGAACATTTCTTGCTTTTAAGAAACGATGAATAAGAACATAACAGAATTAAACACTTTTTACATTTTGGATCAAATTAAAGGGAGTTATTAGCTATATACGTATAAATTTCAGGGAGTTATTAGCTATATACGTATAAATTTCAGGGAGTTATTAGCTATATACGTATAAATTAGAGGGAGTTATTAGCTATATACGTATAAATTAAAGGGAGTTATTAGCTATATACGTATAAATTAAAGGGAGTTATTAGCTATATACGTATAAATTAAAGGGAGTTATTAGCTATATACGTATAAATTAAAGGGAGTTATTAGCTATATGCGTATGCGTCGAAAAATAATCGATGACTATATCCGAACGATTTTTTTAAATTGATTGTTTACGATCCGAGTCGTGTATTGCAACTTTCTGAATTCATACGGACGCTTCGTTCTTCAGTTTAAGTCGTTTTTAATAATTTTCTCCATATAGACGCAACAGATAGAAAGATTAGTTTTTATTTTTCGCAACACTCCCTTTAAGGCTTCAAGGGTACTGTTTGTAAATCAGGCATTATGTTATCTTTGAAAATAGGTTCACTAAAAATTACGCTTACAGTTCCTTTGATTGCAAAATCGTCTTGACTAAAATTTTTTTTTACCTGAAAGACCACACATGACAGATGAACTGTGTCCCCAACCATAGAAGAGTAGTTTGAGATAAGAGAAGGTGCAAAGTATGGACCAGTGTATAGACCCTTGGGGGACACCTTTCCTAGACTACGCTCTGCTCTACTCGAAACAGGACTCTTGGTGGATTGTGTGACAGAGCTGTCAATAACGTCATACTTTTCTTTACCAACAGTGCCAAGGAATCCTGAACAAAATTTTAGGTGTTAGAAAAGCAATTGTGCCTTCGTCGCGTTTTTGACCGTTTGTCGTTTGACCCTAGGTCTTTTTACCCTATGTCGTTTGACCCTTTGGCATTTGACCCTAGGTCGGTGAATCTTTGTAAATCTTTATTAAAAGCTAGAAATCTTAGATTCAAGCTCTTTGCTAAAATTTAAAGTTTAAAGAATGAACAGGAAGTTAAAACTTTAAATTTGTATAGAAAATTTTCCTTCTTGCACACAAGCTTAAACCTTGATGTATTTTATTTTCAAGAAAATTCAGGAAATTTTCCCACTTGCTTGCAAAATTTTTCAATATGTAAATTCCATTGGTAAAAGTTCAAAGTTGGATCTAATTATATAATCTTTTTTTCTATCTCTAATGATTATTTGATTGCAGTATGATAAACAATTTATTTATTTTGCCACCAATTAAAACCAAATTGTTAAGAATTACTAACTGCAACTCAAGTTAAACCTTTTTAAAAGAATACACTCAACATAGTTAAACTAAAGTATACACTTGAAAATATATTTAGGATAACGAAGCTAATTTAGTCCTCTATTATTTACTATTAGTAAACTTATAAATTATTTTAATAATGTTTAAATAGTCATGCTTTGACTGAACTCCCCCCCCCACACCACCAACCCCCAACCCTTCCAGCCCTAAATGGGCTACTTCAATAATCATCTGTATTAACTCTAAATATCCAACGCTATATGAAAGTATAGTGCTTTAAATTTAAGTTGTCTAAAACTAGCATTTAAATGCAATTTTAGTACTCTCAAAATAGTCTGAAATAGTCTGAAAGTTTGAAATATCAGGTTGCAAAGATAAGAAATTTAAGTTGGTGTTAAATCAAATTCTTTTATTCTTACCGAGAGAACCTAGAATGATGAAGAATATTATCTTTTTCATCTTTTAATTCTGTATTCTCTATTCTATACTTCAGAACCAAGGATAGAGGCCAGCTAGTCTGCGGCCCTAGTTTTGCATTTTCAAATGAATGTCTGAAACATGATAAAATTAATGATGGGAATAAAGTTAGAATCCAGAACTGTATAGTGTTGTGTGACCCACAGTTCATGCCAAATTATAAAACGAAATTGGGTACATGACTTGAGAGGGGGTGCAGAGCATCTATGAACCCCGCGAACTAACCTCATGAGCCTCCTGATCCGCAAATTGAGCTCCTAGACAATTAAAATCATCTTCGTACTTTACGCGCGCTTACGTCTCAAAGCCCGGCAACTCTTACTCCACATCCAACATTCTCATATACAATAACAAATATTTGGCTTTTATATCCACCGAAAGCCTTTTTTTCGAAAAATCTCAACATGACCAAAAATTTCTTAGTAATACATAAAAAATTTATCTTAAAAAGTCAATTTTAATTGAGATTAAGACTATCTTGTGGAAGACGATGCCTGGCCGCGTTAAACTAGTTCCACAAGATTCAACAGAATGAGATGGAGGGGAGAATGAGGGGGAGCTGACTGTGGGTATTTAAAAAGAACGGTATAAATGGGAAAGGGAGTGAGAAAGCTATTTAGGAGGGGTGGGGTAAATATAATATATATATAACAACTGTACACGGGGGAGAGCAAGGCAGTTTATTTAACCGCTTGTCAGTTTATGTTTGTTTAGTTAATGGTCAATTTAACGCTGAGATCTCTCATTTTTCCATGTTTACCAAATCAGATAAATATAAATAAACTTGGGTGCATTAGACAGATTTTTAGCTTTCTAATATTATATACTTTTAACCCTATAAAGGCTGCATCTATGTATAGCCTGGGGGGGCGTTAGAAAAAGGCCTTAGAGAATATGTGTAGGGTTTAAATACATGTTCATAGCCAAATTTTTTATAAAATAAAATAAAAAATAAAATAAACTAGACCGATAACTTTAATAATTTGGGTGCTAGGGAGGTTGAAAAAAATGACTAAAAAAGGGTCAAAAAAATTGAAAGCATATTTTTGTGTTTAACAAATTTCAAAGTGTGACACATGTTTCTACGTGTATTTTTCAAGGGCTTTTCAAAAATAAAGTTTTTAGATCTGTAGTCTTAGTCACAAAAAAGTTATGGACTATTTTAGATTTTTTTTTTCACAGACCGGACTTTTTTTCCGCCCTGTACCCGACCCTATAAATTAAAAAAAAATATAAACAAAAAATAGTGTCAAAAATTAGAGTGCTACGACAAAAGAAACTACAATGGGGGGGGGGCGCCAAACGCCCCCAGACTATTTAGTGTTAAAATTAGGGTTATATTTTGTTGTTTTATATTCACCAAATCAGTGATGAAATATAATCAAAACATCATTTTAAGCTTTTCATATAGTTTTTTTTATTAAATTCCACTCCTGTGAAGTGTGTCATTCAAGATGTTTCCACAGCTAATTAAGCAAAGAGAGACGTAATCTGAAGTACGACTTTGTGATCTCATAGTCCCTTTAGTTTTGATTTTACCACCAATAACAAACTTATTGAGTTATATATTAGAGTCTCAAAACTTTTTTGTCTTATCGATAGGTCTTCAATTGAAGGAGTTAAGATTGAAACCGTGTGCAATTTCCATAACTTTATAACAGAAAAAAAAATATTGTTTTGAATTTCTAATATGTAACAGGATACATTTGCTGATAACTCGAACTAGAGGAGCTACACAAAGCCGTACCAGCAATACATACATTTTACCTTCTCCTTCTATCTAGTTCACAATGATGGGGCTTTAAGAAAAAAAATTGTTCATTTGGAAAAAAAATCTTGTTTAAAATCTGGAGGAAATATTTTTTATTCCAAATGAATCTGAGTTGAGACATTTTAGTTTTTAGTGTTTATGCAAAGCTTGTCGTGTAATAGATATGTTTTCTTCAACAATGCAAACAACACTATAAGACATAGTTTATATTATTTATATATATAATATACAATATACTATTATAGCACAACCATTTATTTTAAAGGTATAAATTCCTGAAAGAAATATTAAAGAATACAATAAATGTTGAAAATCTCAACAAAGAAAGTAATGCTCATCCTTCAAGACTAAAGAGTATCTATTCATATCCAGCTGCATGTTATGAATATGCTCAAAGTACCTATGTATTTATATATGTCACCTAGAGAGGATATTTCACGGTCAGGACATTTAATGAACAGGACATTTCACTGATAGTACATGCTATAGATAGATACTACATTTCACTGATAGCACATGCTATAGATAGATACTACATTTCAATGATAGGACAAAAGCAGACAGAAATATTAAAATTATCATAATATATTTTTTTAAAAGTTGATGGCAAACAAAAATCTTTACAAGGACTGTCAAAATCAGTTTTAAGTAAATTAAATTGCAGAATCACAAGGGTACCCTTTAGCTTTTAATTGTATTAAGTTGACGCTAGATCTGTCATAATTCAATCTAAAATCAATTTCTTTTTTTAGCTTCCCTTCTTGTCTCAGTGCAAAAAGTGCCTGCTTTAAGAACTGAAATTGAAAATAATCAGTTTTCAGATAGAAAAGCAAGGATATTGTAAATTAAGACTCTCTCAATTCGGGGTCACTTAAATTTCTTCAATAGTTAGTTTTTGTATCTTTTCGTTAATCTAAATTTAGTTTTTCAAGCATGAGTTTTAGTTTCGGATTAACCATAGATAAATAACAATACAGATAAAACAATAGATGCCTTCTTTTCAATATTTAGGGTTTTTTTTGTTCACAATAACCCTGAGGCTGAGGCCCAAAGGAGTTAGGCGTATGCTGCGTTGAATTACAAGACAAAGACAAAGCCTGTTCCATCCCGAATGCGCCTGACTCTTTTGGGCCTCTGCCTAAGGTGTCTGCTGAACGACAAACCCCTAAATCTTAAATAGACGACATCTAGTGTTCTATCTGTGTTGTTATTAATCTATGGATTAAACTTTCTCAAGGTTTATTCTAATCCATCAAACCTGAGTGGATACACGTGTTAAAGATATATTCTTTACAAACTAGGCTTTCAAATTTACATCGTCATTCTTTATTTTTTACCTTCCTAGAACCAGAGAACAATAAAAGTACAGTGTTAACTAGAAAACAATAGAATAGGAAGACGATTTGAAATCAATACTTAAGTGTATTTGATGTTGTTTTAAGCAAACAGTTTCTCCGGACACTTATTAAATTAAACTAATCACATAGAATGGGTCTGTGTACACTGCACAATTGATATTTCTCATGTTCATTGGAATATTAAAGTCATAACTTGAGTCTTAAAGTCGTCTTCCTATTTCTGAGTTGGCTGGTTCTCACTGTAGTATAATAGATCGGAAATAAACTGATTACTCGCATCAAACTCTAAGTTAATACAGTAAGACCCAGAAAACTTTGGAATGGGAAGACGACTTTTAGACTCAAGCTATGTTTATGGTAAATTGCCTATTAATAACTAGTCATGGATGTTAGACATTTTAAACTATAAATTTTGTTATATGTTATTGTCAAAGTTTGAAATATCAAAGATTTTAACCATTAATTTACAACGATACAGGGAATAGAAAATTAGAGTTTGTGGCCAGTGTTCAGTTCCTTTACAACTCTGTGTTTGTAACAAGTTACTTATCCGATAACGGTATCTATTCCCAACTGTATCTATAAACTGAGTTAGAACCTAAACCATCTTGGTTTTATTGAATTGTAAATTTAGGTTTTACTTTATTCTTCTCTAATCTTAAAGTTTAGAGCTGCACATATCTCACACTCTCCGGACATTAAACTAAAGTTTATTCCGTTCATGTTCAAAATGTTGCAGGTTTTCAACCCTATCTCCAGTCACTAGTAAAGTTATCAATAAGATTAGGTTTTAATTAATTTTGTATCTACTAAAATTCTTTCTTTTGACAAGTTAAATTAATGTATATAAACGAATTTATTTGTTTCCACAGCTCAAACTTTCTAATTCCTATTTCCTATATTTTTGCTACCTGAGGTCGAATTTAAAGAATTTGAGCCGCTGTTTAAATTTAAGCTGCGGCTCAAATTTTGTTGTTTTCACTTAAATTTGTATTATTTTTTTCAAGATTTAAGCCGGCGCTCCATTGAAACCGGTTTTTTAGACGCGGCTTAAATTCGTTAAATTCTTACACTGATAGTGCAAACCTCTGATAGTTTAAACTTAGATTATTTGATCAAGCAGAAGTCATAGTATGAAATAACAAAAGATGCAAAATTGGAGTGCTTGGGTTAAAATTTAATGTTTGTATCGTAATGAGGGAGCAAGGAGGTGTCCATAACCCCGTTTATAATTGACACCCTATGCTTAGCAATTGTATTGTCATTAATATAGTTTTCTTTTTAACTAGTCTGAACTCTGTCTGATTAGTTTAACATAATTGTTATCAGGTTTACAACTTCTTAGTTTATAGAAAGCTTTCAGTTCTTGGTTTCCAATACAAACTTTCTCATCAAAACATTGTTTATCATTAAATAATTAGCATAAAGATAGATTTGGGGGAAATTCCAAAAGGAAATCATTCGGAAAGACAGATTCCGGAATTTTCGACGCACTCACTCCTTCAAGTGAGACATTCTATCCCCCTTGTCTGTTCTGAACGCAGCGCTTGGTCCTTAAAAATACCCAAGCCAATGTCCTTAAAAATACCCAAGCCAACTCTTTAAAATGAGAAATTAAATCTAACTATAGTTTCCTACTGAAATTTGATCAGCCTGGTAATGGTTATTTCTACCAAATTTTCTATTCCGGAAATTGTTCTTTCCGGAGTTTGTCTTTCCGAATGGGGGGGGG